CAGAGATGCTGTGGGATGAGACTCAGAGACAGAGATGCTGTGGGATGAGACCCAGAGGCAGAGATGCTGTGGGATGAGACTCGGAGGCAGAGATGCTGTGGGATGAGACCCGGAGACAGAGATGCTGTGGGATGAGACTTCCTGAATTAAAATCCACCCTTGCTCCTGGCATTTATCACCTGTGACCCAGGCAAGTGGCTTGCCACCCCCAGCCTAAGCTTCCCCATTTGTAAGCACGAGGAAGGCCTCCCTCAGCAGGCTGCTTGGCAGCTCCGTGTCTTCACGCACAGCAAGTGCCCTAGCAGTGAAGGCCTGGCCCTTGAGACTCAGGAGCAGGGTCAGCTGCTGTTCCTGCTCTTTTTCCCTCTGGTGTTATCCTCAATGCCAGGCAGACTGGTAACATCTCCCGGGGCAGCAGGGACAGCCTACCTGCTGGGAATACCCTCGGAACATCGGGTTGACCAACTTGATCCCATGAGACAGGCTGGTGGGAACCACGTAGCTTGGGCTGTTGGAAGACCAGACCCATTAGTCCAGGTGGCCTGCCCCGAGCTGCTCGGTGCTGAGAGGCCAGCTGGCGGCTGGGTCAGACTCGGGGGCTCACTGGGGAGGGCCGCAGCTGGACCACGCTCTCTGCTCCAGGAGCGTGCCGAGTCCCGGCTGCCGCCAACAGGCACAGCTCTGACCCTGCAATGACACCATTTCTAGCTGGTCCACAGCAGACTTTAAACCATTCTTTCTTTTTATTTTAAGAGTATAGTGAGAGAGGGGTTTCTCCTTTCAAAAGCAATGTGTTGATTTTTTCATTAAGGAAATGTTTGTAATTTCAGAAACGCACACAGAGAACCATTACCCCCAATCCCGCAACTGAAGGTTTCCAGATTTTTCTGGTGCTCAAAGAAACTTTGTTTCTGGCAAAATTTGGATTGTAAAGTACCATACTGTTTTCCAATCAGCTTTTATACTTCGTTTACTTGAGTGATAGATATAGACATAGGTACTTAACACCTATGTTTCTACATGCCTGTTGTAAGCAATCCCCGAGGAACGGGGCTAGTACCAGCTCCCGGCTTCCCATTCATTTCACAAGGTGCTCAAGGCCTTCCCGGTTGGTGCCACTGTAACGTCTGAGTGGCCTCCCCATGCCGCAGCGACAGCCCAGAGCTGGGCTAGGCGAGGACATGACTCTGGGACAGGATCAATGCCAGCTTCTGGTTCTAGCTCCACCTTTCCACACACCCATGTGACTCTGAGCAAGATGTCTACGTCTCTGGACCTCAGCTTTCTGTGTGCCAACAGGGTGCATCCGACCGACATCCCCCAGGGCTGCTCTAAGGGCTGCACAGGGCGAAGGGTGTCGAGTGCTTGGCTCGGGAGCACATCCTCCCTCTCTGGCCAGGGCCTCACTCACCGCTTCTTGTGCCAGACCTCAGCGACCAGCTTCTGGTAGCTCTTGCACAGGGCCGGCTTCTTGTCTGTGCGCACGAGGCCGCCGCACTCCAGGAAGAACTGGGTCAGCGGAGGGCTGGCGAGCAAGGGCAGAGAGAGACGGGAGATGGCGTCACTCAGGAAGAGCGGGGTGGAGAAGCCATGAGGGGTCACTCCGTGGGCCCCAGACCCAGGACTGCCCACGATGGTGACCAGGACCCCATCCTCTTCTCTGTAGTCAGCTGTGAGGATGCCACCGGAGGGAGGACCCAAGAGGCCAGAGAGAGAAGCCAGCTCCTGCTCCACCCAGGACTGTGCCACCTACTCTTCCCGCTCCATATTGTGGGCTTCTTTCCACGCCAGTCGTCTTTTCCTTGGGTTATCTTTTTTGGACACCATTGTAACCCTGAGCCACAGGAGACTGACCACGAGCAGCGGAAGGCTAAGTGTCCTTGCATGCACAACAGGGCTTCCACAAGTTTGTGGACAAACCCCATTATCTTTCGATTTCCATTCCTCCACGAACCTTCTCAAGTCCCCTTGCACGACTTTCTCAACACATATCTGATGACCTTCTGAGGACACACAGCAGTGGGAGGGGTTCGGAACCACGTGGATCCACAATGGCCTGCAGGCCGCATGCGGAGCACCCCGCCCTATCTCCAGAGCCTTGCCAGCTGCGTGCCCTGCCCCGCCCTGGCTCCCTTGAAGCGTGACCCACCAGTTGGACAGGGCCTGCAGGGCGGCGTTCATGTAGCACGAGTTCCCCAGGTTCTTCATGCCAGTAAGACCTGGAAAACAGGCGGGGTGGGGGAGCGGGGCAGGGCAGGAAGGCAACTGAGGGCACTGTCCCAGCAAAGAAATCAAACTCCCACTCTGAGAGGGGCTGTGGTCCCCAATCGTGACGGGACCCGGGAGGCTGGTGCCTCCCTCCCAAACCCTCCCCCGAGGTTACTGTGGCTCCTGCCACAAGAGCAGTGGTTGAACACGTGGACTCCGCCCCCTACTGTCTGTACTTCCAGACAAGGAGGCGCATGCTGGGCGTGAGCCCTGGGGACTCCCGGGCTCCGGGCCTCAGCTGGGCTTCCCTGCTCAGATGCAGACTCGGCCTGGCGGCACTGTGGGGAGCACCGTGCCCGCATGCGCGGCCAGCCCGCCTTCCCCTCCACGGTGGCACCTCCAGCCCCAGCAGGGCCCAGCGGCTTCCTCCGTTCTGGGGCATTACCTCGGGGCTTCAGGTCATCATCTTCTGATTCAGACTCGCCTTCATCGGCCACAGCGATGGGGACCGCTTTCAGAGGGTGAGAGGCCATAGGGGAGTCCTGTGTTAAAGGACACAGAGGGCTGCCAAGGAAGGAAGGAAGGAGGCGGAGCAGGGCCAGAGGCCCATGCACCTCTGAGGGAAAGAAGCCGAGCCCTGAGATCAGAGTGGTCCCTATGCCCCTGGGGACGCCCTAACTTGTAGCTTACTCACTGTGTAGAACAATAATCATGTGTCTTGCTTACAATAGGGGGGAAAACACCACAACAATGCCGCTTTGAGATTTTCCTGAGATACCACGCTAATAGATTTCAGGTACAGATGCAGATCTCGGTTCTCTATCTAATCTGCGTGCTACAGGCTATTATCACACAGACAAAACTAGCTGTTTCATAGCCTCTTTTGTAAAAAGAAAAAGAAACATCTACCATGTTTAGAAGGGTACTCATCCAACATGCTGTGGCGCCCTGAACGGGCGGTCACTGTTCAGGATGGAGGGGAGCCACAGCGGGGCCTCCCTGGGGGAAGCTTTGGCAGCTGACTCACTGACCATTCCCTGAGGACAGGCCCTCAGATGTGCAAGCTCACTAACGCCCTCACCTCTGAGGCTGCCTCTTCTGTGGGGCTGTTACCTACCTGACGGAACACCCAGGGGGTTCAGGTAACCCCCAGAGGCAGGTGCATGGCTACTGGAGCAGGCTCGTTATTCCCTCAGGGCCCTTCCAGTGGCTATCTGTGACGCCAGGCAGCCGCCTCCACTTGGGAGGCATCTTCTATATTCTTGCCAAAGCCTCCCAAACACTACCCACCAGGCCCCAGGTTACCCCACCAGGTGCACTCAGCACACGTCTGCCTCCCAGCTCTGTGAAGGAGGTCCTAGCCTCAGTCGCCTCTCATCCTTAGCACCTAGGCACAGAGGTGGGGCTCAGCAAGCATTTGCTGGCACGAGCACCTCACAGCCACCTAAGATGCCGGTGGCCCAAGACAGCCCGTGTCTCACACTCCATGGGCAGAGGAGCCCCTGGCTCCTGGCCACTCCCAGAAGAGCAGACCAGCCCATCTCAGTGGGGTCTCACAACCACCCCTGACTCCGAGGCAACCCCCTTACCTGCTCCAAGCACTTTGGGGAGGGGCCTGGCGGGGGAGGTACCAAGCGCTGCCTCAGGAACACTTCCTTCTCGCAGGCGTAACACCACACTCGAAATGTGGTCAGGTTCACGGTCAGGTTGTGCTTTTTAACCTAAGGAGAAGATGCACCCAGGGGTGCTTCAGAACACAAGCCCGGGGGCCTCGCAAGGTCACAGCCTTGAAAAGCCTAGGTGCGCACGGGGGTGGGGGTGGGGGTGTGGGGGGGGTGTCGGAATGTGCATCGTGGAGAGCAACAGACCCAAACTAGCATCACGGACACTGCACACTAAGAGGCGCGCCGGGCTCTCCGGAGATGCTGTGGGTCAAGGTGAGGGCCTGTCAGGATAGCTGCCTAGAAGCTCCCTATTCGCTCACTGGCCCATCTGTGATGAAATGCTTCTATATGGCCTTTCTTTCTTTTTTTTAAATCATTTTATTAGGGGCTCATACAACTCTTATCACAATCCATACATACATCCATTGTGTCAAGCACATTCGTACATATGTTGCCATCATCATTCTCAAAACACCTGTTTTCTACTTGAGCCTTTGGTATCAGCTCCTCATTTTTCCCCCTCTGCCCTGAACCCTTGATAATTTATACATTATTATTGTTTTGTCATATCTTACACCGTCCGACGTCTCCCTCACCCACTTCTCCGCTGTCCGTCCCCTAGGGAGGAGGTTATATGTAGAGCTTGGAATCTGTTTCTACATGGCCTTTCCTGCCATGATTCTAAAACTCCCACCGGCTGAGTGGGGTGGACCATGCAAACTAAGTGCGGTCTTGGACCGTTGCTGTTAATGCTACTCACGATTCTCCTCCCTGATCGTGAGGTTAGAGGTTAGAGGACGAGGGCAGACACCATGGTCTCCAGGGCAGCTTTACAGTTGGTGTCAGAAGGGGGCTCAGAGAAGCATGGGACTTTGTAAACGTGAAAATAAGAAGGCATGGGAAGGAAACTTTTGATTCTAAGACGGGTACTTTGGTTGTTGCTCCCTGTAATGACGGAAAGACAAGTAAGAGATGCTGATGCTACAGCTGAGGGGAGGGAGCCGAGTCTGGAGCAGCTTGGGACCAAAGGCAAACCAGTGGAATGAAATGATTCACGAGGGGCCGGGGCTTCAGGAGCCACCTGCAGACGACTGGGAAGACAGTTAAGGAGTGAAGCAGAAAGGATGAAACTGGAATGTTTTTTAAAGGCTTATGTATTTATTGAATGTACTATGGCAGTGAAGTGGAGTTACCTAATTTGGGCTCTTCTAGCCATTTCGCTACAAATCCGATCAACTGACTAGGTGGGGCCAATGCAAATAAGGTTCGTGAAACACTCATAGAGGGGATCAGTCAGTTTGGCCATTCCTCTGGTCCCAAAGGAGCCTTCTCTCCTTGTCCCTGCCTCTGAGACGGCTCTGACACACAGGGACTGGCAGCCACGGCCGACCAGCAATCCCCTCTTCGTGTTCCACACACCAATCTGCACAACTCCAGCCGTCATTTGGTGGGACGCAGAGACATGCAGGCGAGGGCCTTCTTACCAAGTTTCACTTCGTCACAAGTGGACAGGGGCCAAGAGGCTGAAGGGCCTGGAGAGACCTGCCTGTGGGCACAGTCAACAAGCTGTCCTGACCACAGAACTGTGTCTTGAGTCAGTCCTCATCCTAAATTGTAACCTGTCGTTTCCCTAAACGATCCCCATGACCTTGAGGAAGGCCTATGAATTCTGTGTGACCATGGCAATGGATCGTCAAACCCAGCAGAGACGTAGGGCGCGCCATGGGAGGGGTGGCGGGTGTTTGCCCTGGGAGAAAGGCTGGAGGGAGAAGTATGTCTGACCTCTCTCTTATAGCAAGGATTGGGCTACTGGGGCTAATGCCGATGAAGCCTCTCCTTTCTTATGACATTAGACGAGAAGTCGGATACTGTCGTCATGAAACCATTTCGACAAAGACTAACACTGCCCTTCGGGGAGCACAAACTAAGTGCTTTCACCCAAATTCTCCCTTGCTTCTTTCAAGCAACCTGCTAAGGTTATTCCCATTCTACAGACAGGCCCACCGAGGCCCACTGCAGCTCTCTGGAGCTGGCCTAGGGCGGGAGTTGGGCTCTGAGCCTGGGCTCTTGGCTGCCACCCTCACCTGGGCGTGGATAGTGCTGTGGTCAGCATAGGATTCTCCGCAGCCGACGTAAGGGCAGGCGACCTGGGGAGGAGGAGGAAGAGTGGGTCAGGGCTGGTTAAGAGGACGGTACCAACCCCTCACCTTGGTCCATGGGCGACATCTTCTACAATGTCCATTCCCTTCGCTCTACCCACAGGACTCACAAGGGATTAGGGCCTGCCTCCCCAAACTTCTCACTGGACGGGATGGTCACCATCCTATGCTGGCCCTGCCCTCCAAGTAACACAGGCAATTTGTCCCAGGCTGCTGCTGTCCTGCAAGAAGGCCAGGCAGAGGTCACAGCTGAGAGCTGACGGATAGGGGTCCAAGCCCTCTCCCCACCACATAACCCTTTTTCACCCAACTGTCTCCCAGACTCTCCCTGCTTTCTGTCAGGGGCTCACATTCTTGGTGAGGGATCCCAGGCCTCACAGGCAATTCATAAGGGAAAACCAGGTGTTCCAAACAAGGTTTAGGACAATGGTTCTCAGCCTTGCTAATGCTGCGACCTTTTAAAACAGTTCCTCATGTGGTGGTGACCCCCACAATAAAATTATTTTCGTTGCTACTTCATAACTATAATTTTTCTACTGTTAGCAATCGGGCAACCCCTGTAAAAGGGTCGTTTAACCCCCCAGAGGGGTTGTGACCCACAGGTTGAGAACCGCTGGTCTAGAAGGTTTGGCCCCAATGCTGGTCCAATGCCCCCCAGTGGAAAGCACCCATTCCTGCTTTTAGCCTTCCACTCTCTGACCCATTATCTGCCCTTTCCCCAAGACCCAGTTATGGGCAGCCACTGGTGACCAAGAACACCTGGTGTCCCTGCCACCGGGACTGGTACTGTCTGGGTAGATGAGGGCCTCCTAAGTCTTTTGCCGGATAAGTTTCCTATCTGTCTTT